GGCGGCCTGAGGTGTTGCTGTGGTTCCTTCCCGGGCGTGGAGGCGGCGCAGAGGGTGTCCGGTGGTGATCTTGGCGTTGGACTCCGGGGAAGAAGCTTGCTTGAGGAGTCGATGACGGGCCAGGGCGCCAGAGTGGATACTCGGCGGCTGGAGTTGCCGGCGGCCTATGTGTCTCTTCCGTTGCGGTGGTGCCCGCCTCTCTGGGTGCGTTCGCCGGTAGTGGGCCGACTACGCAAGTTGGTCGTAAGGGCAAGAGTTTGACTCGGTCCTCCTGCTCGGGACTAGTTGCTCCTCGTGCAGCTACGGATCTGCTCCAACCTTGCCAAGATGGGTATCTGCGGTTGGTAGGGGTGGTGTCTTCTCGTTATGGCGTCGGTGAAGATCCGCGGTAGCGGTGGTGGTGGTCGTGGTAGTGTTGTGTCGATGCGTGGATCGGCGTCGGTGACCATGGACATGGCATCGTGTGAGTCGCTTGGCCAAGGGCTTGGAGTTGACTCATCGGCGGCCGGCGGCAATCTTGGAGTTGTGTCCCTCCATGTCCAACAGGATTGGCTAGGGACACAGGTGTGGTGCCTCCTACGGTTGACGCGCCTACCTAGACTCTGGGACTGATGCCGGGCTAGGAGTTGACGGACTGTCGTTGCTCTTCCTACCGTGGTTGAGTGAGTCGTGATGTGCGCGACATATGCTATCTAGCGACAGGGATGCCGGGGTGGCGGCTCCGGATGGCGGTTCGCATGGTTGCTCTCCGGCGGGCATCATTGCAATGGTGGTGGCGCTCCTCCGGGGTTGTGTGGGCAACGGGACGTGCAACGGCTGGTAGCTCGGATGTTCCCTCTCGCTCGGAGCGGCGGCGTCCTGATCCGGATATGGGACTCTAGCACTTCCGCATTACGCCTGGCGGCCTCATGGTGACACGGTGGGAGTTGCTGAGCAAAAGCTTTGTGCCTTGGCGCCGATGACGGCGGCGCCCGTGGGTGTCGTGCTCTTCTTGAAGACGTCGTCGTCGTTCTTCTCTCCGTGTCAGGGCTTCGGGTGAAGACCTTTGTCAGGTGTGGACTCGGCAACGGCGACGCTCTGCGCCGTTTTCCCTCTTGAGGGCGTTGTCGTGGAGCTTAGGTTTGCTAGGTCGTACTGTGGGGTGTGTCTAGTCCCGGTGCTCTTTGTTGGTAGTGGTCGCGTGTGTTCTGCATGTGCTGATTATCTTAGGATTGGCTTTGTAAGAGGGTTACCTCACCATCTTGTATCGGTTGGCCATATACCTGTTTCATTGGTGCTTTATCTATAAAACGGGGCGAAAGCCTATTTCGAGAACATCGAGATTGCTCTCGCGAGTCTTCTCTATCACTTCAACTGGAGGTTTCGCCCGGTGACAGAAATGGAAATAAACTTGATATGACTGAGGCGTATGGTATGACGACGCGACGGAAGACTAAGCTCTTGCTGGAAGCTACTGCTTTCGAGCCTTAGTCTGCTAGTCCAAGTAACCATGTAGGTTTACGTGTCTATGTTCCAAGAGGCGCAAATCTTATTTGGCTGTTGAGATCGGTAAAATATATCTTTCATTCAGATATTGCTTTTGGCTCTAGGGTTTATATATGCACTTGAGCGTCAAAAATTTATTTTGCCAAGGTCAGAAAGAGGTCTTGGTACCCCACCTTCCTTTTTACGTTGAGTAAAGGATTCATTCATGTCCTGAATCAGCATCCCTGCGTATGAAAATGCCAAATTCTCCTCCATGTACAGTGTTTGTTGCGCCATACATCCCTGCGTATGAAAATCCCATATTCTCCTCCATGTAACAGTGTCTGTTGCGCCACACACCGGTTCGCCATATATCCCTGCGTCCTGACAAGGTAATTCTCCTAGCACGACCACATCAATGTAACTGGCATGCAAAAAATTCAAATGCAAGTTCACGTTACTTCTACTAAACATGATCAAACCACCACTTCACCTATCGCTACAAGAAACAAACATGCTGGTATAACCTAACTTCACACATAGCCTTTGCCCTCTCGTATCATAAAGATGAGTTTCGAACAGAAAAAGGATATCTGAACCGTGCTGCTTCCGCATTTCCAGAAGCGAACAAATTGCTGCCCTTGGCAGTTCTTCATGAATACTCAAGGCTAGTTAGTAGCAGTTCTTCATGAATGTATCTTGCGGACACAGTAGATGCTGGGCTACCATGTAACTAGAACCATCAGAGTGGATGGGTATCTTTACCCCTTCTTTAATACTCACTCCATTGATCATAATGCAGTGCGTGTAGATTATTTGAAAAGTCAAACTTTGTAAACTTCGACCGAGTTTATAGAGAAAACTATTTATGTCTACAATATCAATTAAATAAAATATGAAAGTACATCTTATGATGAATCTAATGATATAGGTTTGACATTCTAAATGTAAATATTTTTGTCTACAAATTTAATCAAAGTTTGTGACGTTTGATTTTTCAAAAAATATATATGCACTACATTATGGAACAGAGGGAGTATATGATACGCACACTCGTGTGTATTTGTGCAAAAAAAAAAACGAACAAATTGTCGCCATGGCAGTTCCAACTCAGTTTAGGTTGGTAGATCTCTTATCCAACGATGTTGAAAGAAACCAAGGAGATGATCTACAATTTTACTTCCTAAAGCCACTGCATACGCCTCATGACGATCGTATTTGTCATGATGTAGAACAAGTTACAATACCTCTACATGCCTAACGCCCTCATTCAGATTTTTTGCTCATTCTGTAGGTACTTTCCATATCTACAGAGGTTTTCTTGACCATACATCATGTGTTTTGCGTGTTCAATCTGCCGTACTGTCAGCTACTTTTGGTGTGTCCGCCTTACAACTAGGGATTTGGCATTCAAACCGTGCTGAAAAATGAATTCTTCGATGAGTGTCCGGCTCCTTTGTAGTAGATCACTTGTACTGCATCATACGAAGGAGAATCGTTTCACCTAACGGATTATCCTTCTGTTAAAAAATGAAGTACAAAGCTGCAGCCAAAGTGGAACTGTGGGAGGCTAAGCTAATGAACAATAATATTTTGTTAATAAACAGTCGCTTAACCAGTCCCGACATAGCTACACCTACTTTTGATCCAGGTTTTGTATAGTTACCCCTCTTGGCCAATAATTGTTGGAGGATCAACAAGATGCATACAAAGATGCAGTTGGAGGATCAACAAGATGCATACAAAGATCCTGTGATTATGTGAATCGATTAACTTGATTAATCTCAACCTGACTACCAGCTGTTGATCACATAACTGCCCCTCTTTGTTTCAACGAAACTACCCATCTTCTCGTCTGCCTAGCTAGCTAGCCAACAACCTAAGGTAAGGATTAACAAGATGCACACAAAGATCGTAGATCCAAGCCTGTCATAGTTATTACTAGCATGTATGAAAATTATGATATATCGACAAACCTCAGGTGCAAGAATACGTACTGTTAATGGGTACTAAACTCTAAACAGACACAGATTATCACTAGATATACCGTGCATGTCATGTTAATCAAACAGTCACAACTTCTGTCAGCATATGAGTTCTTGAGAAAGAAGGAAAGGTAAACCTAAATTCAACATCATTGTTTAAAGATCTTCATGGTGGAACCATAAGCTACTTAAGTAGCCTGATCGCTACTTGCTCATCCAACCTTATCCAAAACCGAATCACAGCAGCAAAAACCAAGACAGGGACGACCATACTCACCTCCAAAGTTAGCTGTGGTCTTCGGCATGGAGAAAACCGTAGCACTAGCTCTGCTGCTACTCTTCACTCTCCTGACCACGACCCATCGGTTCGCGGATGGCCAGGCCTACTGCCGGTCGCAGATCAGCCTCGCAAACGAGGCCTGCAACCTGAGGACCTTCCCGGGGTCGAGGCCCCCCTACGTGCCCCGGCAGCTACTCAACGAAACATCCACGTCGACGACACCCGGCAGCAAGGACTACGAGCTTCGGTCCCGGGACGACGACGACGACGACGATGACAACGATGAAGGGGGAGAACATGAGGGGCGGCACCGGCGTCGACAGCGGCACCGCCACAGCGCCGACAACAGCGACCCGCGTGACACAGCCTGCTGCCGCCGGCTGATGTCCATCGACAACTCGTGCATCTGCCAGGCGTCGGCGCGCCTCCCGGTGTTCATGACCTCGGTGTGGCACGTCATCAAGCTCACGCCGGTGGAGGGCTGCGAGGTCACCTACGAGTGCCCTGGCGCCTTGTCACCGCTGGGCTGATCTCATTACATTGATCAATTGATTGCGATTATGTCTACTACACCAAATCGTCAGTTCACATTCCTTACACAGAGATTGAATTCTACTGCTTGATCCATATTGTAATAAAGATAGATTAACAGATGTTGTACTATCATTGAGAAGAAGATATAAATTACATTCTTAACTGAAGTCGGATCGATCGAGTACATTGTATATATTTTATTTTCTCACTGTAATCCGGAACTAGCGAGCGACCAATCACCTGAACTGAAGTCCAATTTGTCATCCAAGGACGGCAAAGGCAGGTTGGCGAGATCAGCCGCGGTGATGAGATCGTTGCTGCCGAGATCCTCCGCCAGGAATGGCTCGACCATCTGCCGCTCATCAACGTACGGTAGCGCCTCATGGGGCATGACCACCGCCGGCAGTGGCGGCGACGGCGGCGACGTCAAAGAAGACACGCACGGCGCCGACGACGGCACGGTCGCCCCAACATCGTCTTGCTTCAGTCTCATCTCCGACTGATTCGACTCATCAGATACAGGATCGGTCTTGTGGCCGTGCACGTTGCGGCCCAAGTCTGCCGGCGACGCCGCTGACCCAATGTCAACCTGAACGTAGCCGCTTAACGAGAAGCGCGTCACGAAGTCATCTTAGGCCGCTTTGGCCTCCGCCTCGGAAGGGAAGGTGCCGATCCATCGGCGGACGTTGAGGCGATGGCTCCGGAAGTCGGCCACCCACCGGCCGGGCTGTCTTTCATAGACGCCACGAAATTTTCTCGAGGGTAGTTTAGCCACTTTGGCGCCGCGCATCGATCCTCGGCACCCGCTGCCGGCGGCCGATTAAGATTCGACTGGCTTGAAGAATGGTTAGGGTTTCTTTGGTGAGGAAGTTACGATAAGTGCCTCAAAGCCCGCTACGCATCCGCGTTCTGAATTTGGCATCGTGGACCTGTTTGTTGTTGCCTCACTGCCATATTCATCGAGATAAGCATAGGCCCATCATGTTTCTCGCTCGCGTGAACAAGCATTAATAGGCCTGCATGGTGCGCCCCATTAACAGATAGAGCATTTGTTCCTCAAAAAAAAAAACACAAGTAGAGTATTTTCTTCCTTCTTCTAAAAAATAAGGGAGTATTCATTTCGTTTTATTCTTGCAAGAATCCTAATACAATATTCATTCAATGATATATAAACTGTCTCATGATAAGGGACATTTTAATGTTTATCCAAAAGGTGTAATGTGTATTTAAAAATATTCATAAAATTATGATTTTTTTATGTAATTGGTAAAGTGTTCTCACATTTTAAGTAGACGTTCATGTAATTAAAAAGTGTTCACCTATTTTAGAAATGTTGGTGTAATTTTAAAACAACGTCCACACCTTTTTCAAAATTTTCATCTAATTTGAAAATAATACCATTTTGTAAATATTGTTTTATTGTTAAAATATGATTATATTTTAAAAAACGAACAAAATGGGTAAACACAAAAACTAAAAAGGGTAGACAGAAAACAAACCAAAAAACGTGAAACTAGGATAAAACAACCGTGACAAACCAAACCCCTAGCACCGCCATTACTGGGAAACTGTATAGACGCTATATATCGCGCATTTGCGTCGTGCTTGCTATATATCACTCACAAAGAGCGTACATTTGCGTCGTGTTTTGCCAGAGTTACTAGAAGATACTTCATGTGTAAGGAGAAAAATAGTACCATCCGCAATTCCTATTCCATGCTCAAAATGCAGAATTTTCAAGAATTGTGCACATCCATCACGATTTTTGTCGGGCCATGTGCGGGGGTATTCGTCAGTTTTTTCACTTCTTGTCCTTTTTCTTCTAGTTTTTCTGTCATTCTTTTGTTTATTTGTCTTTTTTCTTTCGGGATTCTACTAGATATTTTTCTGTTCTTTTTCATGTTCAGTTTTTTCCTTTCTATGTTCTTTATACATGATTTTTTTTACAAAATATGCGATGAACATTCTGACAAACTTGTGAACATTTCACAAATCACGATGAATAGTTTTTCAAATATGTTACAGACAATTTTCAAATACGCAGGAATATATTTTGAACACATGAGTCACTTTGTATATACGAACATCTATGTTTTTCATTTGCTGCAATAATTTCCCCACTTTTATCCGACTAACAAATAAACATATTTCCCATAAAAACTTTAGGACAGTAAAACTGGGCAACTTTCCAGACCACTTGTGGCCATAAAGATTCTGATCGTCAGATTTCGCGTTCCGGTTGTTTCTGGCTGTTAGATTGCTGGGTTACTTCATGCTTTCTCGATAAGTGTGCCACGTCTTATAGGACACCTATCCCCGTGGAAATTTCCAAGAACTCTTGCAACCTGGGCCTGCCCATCGGATAAAGTCCACTGAAGAAAAGGTAGACATAACGAGGCAAATTGGTAAATGTCTCTGTTAAAATGTGGTTCATCCAATGAGCTTGGAGAAAGGTGACTCACGAGTAACAATTTCAGAGCCCCACTCTCTACCTTCAAGTCCATCCAATGATTTCTTGCAAAACTGGAGCTATTGCCAGTGAAGAGTGCTCTTTTAGAGGGACTAGTAACCGTCCCTCACGACCAAGGTAGGTCGCGCCATCTATTTGCAACACACATAGAAAAGTTGATGGGGCAGTTGATCGAGCTGATGGCGGAGGTATAGTCAGTGCAATTTGCAAAGACGCCAAGTATATGTTTCTTGGAGCATCAACAGTCTTATTTGATGTTTGGGCATCATGCAACTTCGGAGATCACTGCCTACAGTGAGGCCTCACCTCTCACCTGCAAGTGGAGGCCTCCACAGCCTGATCTATTAAGAAAAAGGGTTTCCCCCCGCTTTATATATAAATCACCATCACCACAACAACGAGTAAGAAGATACAAACGCACGCCACCACCACACTCAACGCACACACCCAAGGCGAGATTTAAAGGTGCCGAGCACCGAAAACACCACCCCAATGACGACAAAGCACCCTAATGATAAGCCGAAGACCACCACGAATATGAGCAACCCACCGAGGGGTAATGAGACGGACAAAGCCGGAGCGAGGACTCCAAGACGATGCCCTCAAGAGGGAAACGACTGTAGGAAGCCGTCACCGTCTGATCCTGAATATCAAGCTTTCACCCGGAGTGACACGAAGGCAACGGGAGCACCACGACGGAGCCTGCAAGAAGGAGAACGACATCCACGGACGCCGCCTCCGTCGGCCAGTATCGGGACTGGGCGAGTGATGAACCCCGGTGCTCCTACCCCTCCGTCGCAACCTCACTCCGCCAACCACCCGCATGTTGGAAATATGCCCTAGAGGCAATAATAAATTGGTTAATTATATTATATTTCATTGTTCATGATAATCATTTATTATCCATGCTAGAATTATATTGATAGGAAACTCAGATACATGTGTGGATAAATAGACAACACCATGTCCCTAGTAAGCCTCTAGTTGACTAGCTCGTTGATCAATAGATGGTTACGGTTTCCTGACCATGGACATTGGATGTCGTTGATAACGGGATCACATCATTAGGAGAATGATGTGATGGACAAGACCCAATCCTAAGCCTAGCACAAAGATTGTGTAGTTCGTATGCTAAAGCTTTTCTATTGTCAAGTATCATTTCCTTAGACCATGAGATTGTGCAACTCCCGGATACCGTAGGAATGCTTTGGGTGTACCAAACATCACAACGTAATTGGGTGGCTATAAAGGTTCACTACAGGTATCTCCGAAAGTGTCTGTTGGGTTGGGACGAATCGAGACTGGGATTTGTCACTCCGTGTAAACGGAGAGGTATCTCTGGGCCCACTCGGTAGGACATCATCATAATGTGCACAATGTGATCAAGGAGTTGATCACGGGATGATGTGTTACGGAACGAGTAAAGAGACTTGCCGGTAACGAGATTGAACAAGGTATCGGGGTACCGACGATCGAATCTCGGGCAAGTATCGTACCGATGGACAAAGGGAATTGTATACGGGATTGATTGAATCCTTGACATCGTGGTTCATCCGATGAGATCATCGTGGAGCATGTGGGATCCAACATGGGTATCCAGATCCCGATGTTGGTTATTGACCAGGGAGTTGTCTCGGCCATGTCTGCATGACTGCCGAGCCCGTAGGGTCTACACACTTAAGGTTCGATGACGCTAGGGTTATAGGGAATAGATGTACGTGGTTACCAAATGTTGTTTGGAGTCCCGGATGAGATCCCGGACGTCAAGAGGAGTTCCGGAATGGTCCGGAGGTAAAGATTTATATATGGGAAGTCATCATACGGTCACCGGAATAATTCAGGGGTTACCGGTATTGTACCGGGACCACCGAAGGGGTTCCGGGGGTCCACCGAGAGGGTCCACCTACCCCGGAGGGCCCTATGGGCTGTATGTGGAGAGGGACCAGCCCCTTAGTGGGCTGGGCGCCTCCCCCCCTAGGGCCCATGCACCTAGGGTTTGGGGGAACCCTAAAGGGGGGTGCCCCTCATGCCTTGGGGGGCAAGGCAACCCCCCTTGGCCGCCGCCCCCTCCTCAGATTGGATCTGAGGGGGCCGGCCCCCCTCTCCCTTGCCCCTATATATATGTGGGGATTGGGAGGGCAGTGGCACCCCAGTTTTGGCGCAGCCCTCCCCCTCTCCCAAGTCCTCCTCTTCTCCTACGGTGCTTGGCGAAGCCCTACAGGATTACCACGCTCCTCCTTCAGCACCATGCCGTCGTGCTGCTCCTGGATGGAGTCTTCCCCAACCTCTCCTTCTCCCCTTGCTGGATCAAGGCGTAGGAGATGTCACCGGGCTGTACGTGTGTTGAACGCGGAGGTGCCATCCATTCGGCACTAGGATCATCGGTGATTTGGATCACGACAAGTACGACTCCATCAACCCCGTTCACTTGAACGCTTCCGCTTAGCGATCTACAAGGGTATGTAGATGCACTCTCCTTCCCCTCGTTGCTTGATTACTCCATAGATTGATCTTGGTGATGCGTAG